TCTTTTTTAGACCATCATATAAGATAGTTGCAACTATACTAGTTTAAAATGGGCTGATGTATGAAGCCCGTAGGGGGTTGATATCTTGAGAAAAGGTTTGACTGATGAAGGCTGATGATGGGACTCAGAAATTAGAAAAGAGTGATTGAGGGTGAGGATTATGATGCAACCTGGATGAGAGAGAAAAAGAGCAGGAATGCTGCAGCATTCTTTTGATCCCCACAAAAAAGGCTCATTCAGGGTTCCTATGTCCTGTTTTAAGCAATAAGAAGAATCCTGTGGCCTGTTTTATGCAATAAGAAGAAGGTAATAGATGTTTTGACAAAATGGACAAGGGTGAGAGAATGTTCTTGGAATGCTATAAATATTCTTGATATGTGTTAAACTAGGAAGCACGGATACTTCCACATGAGTGCCATGGCAGCGTCGGACAAGGTCAGGATACAGCCGGACACGTGTTCGACACGTCTAAAAGTGTCTTAAATAGTGAACTTAGTCGGACATGGTCAGGATACGTCTAGGACACGGTTAGAAATTTTTTTATTAAAAACTAACTTTTAACTATTAAAAGGAGTATGATTTTTACTTTTTTAATATATTTTTTGTTATGGAACTTATATACTATGAATGTTAATAGATGTCATGATGTTTGATAAAAATGCTAGATATTTAATTCGATCTATTTCAATTTTAATCAAAAAAATAATATTTGCTAGGTCTTATTATTAATATTGCTATAATATATTTTATTTTTAATATATTATAACTCTATTATTATTTAAAATATATATTATATTATTTTAATAGCCGTACCTGTGTCCTATATTTTTTAAATTTGTCGTATTCCTGTGTCTTTATCCATATCTGTATCCGTGCTTCCTAGGTGTTAAACTACACGGGCGTTGGTAGTAGGTTAGTGGGTAAAGTACACCTAGGGATCACCAAGTGGGTTGAGCAACCAAGTGANGGTAGTAGGTTAGTGGGTAAAGTACACCTAGGGATCACCAAGTGGGTTGAGCAACCAAGTGAGGCTTTTTGATGGGGAATTGCATATTTTTGTGCACAAACTCCTCTTCCAAGTTGATAGTAACAAAAGTAAGTTTGAAATTCCCTACTGACCCCCATTTGCGTTGGTTTTTCTCTTCTTTCATCAACGATTTTCACCTAAAAATCCGTCAAGAGGTTTCTGTGGCATTTCTTAAGTGTACATGGATCATCAGGTTCTCTTAAGTTGACTGGTAGCTCTTTAAAGGGAGGATGCATTCCCCAACCTTGGGGCTAGCTCCCTAAACGAGGAATTGGCAAAGAACCGTTAAAGTCGACTAGCACTAGGACTTAGGAATATCTTTCAGGAGTTGATAGAAAATGTTAGCGAAGGTGAATATCCAAATGAGTATCATTGCATGAATGACCCAAATCCAACTAGCCATGGGACTGCTGGAAGCACGCAGAGTGCATCAGTAAGGACAGATTAATCTCATGCTCCGCATTCAATGAGATCGAGAAGGACTGCAACGTGAGCACGGCCTCGTAGTTCTGGCAATGGATACTCAAGGAGTCAAGGTAACACTTAACAACGGTTTTTCCCATGTTTGCAGTAACGCTTTGTCCATGAGGACCATGACTTGCATTTGCAGGTTAGACTAGTTTTCTTATTGGATTCATATAATCATTTCATGATTTATGATTTATTAACTCATCTTTCTTTTCTTAGTATGATGAAATTCAAACAATATGTCGCATTTTACGGTTACAAGGAATGACTGCTGATAACAGTTTAGAAGTTCTCTCTGGATGTATGGGTGATGCGAATGTGTTCCATTCTAATATGTCATATGTAGTGGGTTTTAGGATTCTTATACTCTCTTGCTAGCTTTGGGTGATTCAGTTCTTAGAAATGCATCTGGTGATCTGAAGAAGAGGGGGGCAGTGGATATTTGTGTTCATCATTGGCGGGGCTACTCAATCTGAGGTAAAATCATGAAGATTTAGTTTTTCTAACAAGTTCTGCAGAAGTGGCATTTGGCCCTAAGCAGATGATTTATTGCCGCTGTTGTCCTCAGCTACAGGTCTAGTATTGATGATCTACCAGAATACATCATGGTAGTAGCTTGCCTATCCTCACTCTTTACGTTTTTTATTCTCTTTGATAAGATTTATAGCAGTTCGGCCTAGAAAAGCCTTTTAGCTTGTAGTATAAATTAAATATGACTCTTAAAGCTGATTCTTAGAGGTGAATTAATTATAAGATGCCCTATGTGGACACTAACTGCTACGTTCTGTCAGTGGATGGACATAATGGAAGTTATCGGAATTTCTTATCTGAAAACCAACTTTAGCAGTTTCTCGGAGAAATAATTCTTAGAAATAACAAGGTAAAATCATANGGAATTTCTTATCTGAAAACCAACTTTAGCAGTTTCTCGGAGAAATAATTCTTAGAAATAACAAGGTAAAATCATATGGACCACGTTTACCTGGTCATTCTAATTTTTCACCATATGTAATTGGTGAAACGTCTCATTTCTGTGCTACAGTTTCATACATGCCAAAAATAGATGTTACCATAGATTGATAGTTTTCTATTTGATTTAATGACTCGTAATGTACAAGCTCTGATGAATTCAATCCACGCGCTAGCATTGAACTGTTTTTTTTTTTTATTGAAAACATAGAGCTTTTCTAATTGGTCCTTAAGTGTTCAAATATGTTGTTGCATCGGTATAGAAGGACTTGGATTGGACATGGTATGTGAAAGATCACTTTGGGAGTAAGAATAGAGGAAGCACGTAGTATCTGTTGTTTATTTTAGTTTCCACTTCTCTATGTTGCAGAAATTGAAGATGTTGTCAGAAAAAGAACTCTGGATTGACAACACTAGAATTTAGATTATGAAGCTTGAGCTTTTTTGCTCAGCACCGGAAGGTTGGTCCTCTAACTCTTAATCACTGTAGTTGTTCTTTCATTATTTTTTGTTGTCTACATTTTGTTTCATTTCCTATATAATAGTTCTACTTTGGGCCAATCTGTGCAGGTATTTGGACAATACATGATCAAAGCTGAGTTAACGTAATGCTCTAACTCCTATGAATTTCGTTACGTCCGAAGTAATGAAACTTTCTTCAGTTGGAAAATTTTAATTCCCAGATGGTTTCGCATGATTCTAGGGAAATCATGTCCGGGCGCTGTAAATAGAAAAAAGGAATACTAGCTAAAAATAGCAATTGGTAATCCGTCCCCTCTCTCATGCCATATTTACATCTGCCTCTGTTGTATGGTTAGGGGTGAACTGCAAAATGCGCTCGCTACTCGTTTTTTTTTGGCTTGAGAAAAGAGTAGAACAGACTAGAGGTGTAAAAAAAAAAATAACATTAACAGAAACTAAAACCTAGTCTAACTGATTGGCAACTCTGTCCTGGATCACGGCATAGTGCACAGAGAATGGGAGGTTCTCCCATTGGAGTTGGCCTGTGCGTTTAGTCTTCAGTCCCCATCTTGCAAGTTGATATGCTGCGCCATTTGCATCCCAATATGTATGAACTATGCTCCAATCAGGATGCATTTTGAGGATTTCTTTAAGGTCTTGGATAATTTGTCAGATTGGCCAGGGTGCTTTGATGTGATTTAACATGGCAGAGTGGACAACTGTTTGGGAGTCACTCTCAATGGTGACATAGCTCCACTTCTCTTCCATAGCCCAATTTGCAGCATTCCTGATTGCAATTGCCTCTGCTATGAGTGGATTTGAAGTTGATTCCATGCTTACTTTGGCTCCCACAACTTCTCCTAGCTCCTGTCTTGCCATGATTGATGTACAAGCAGATTCATTTTCCACAGCTGCATCAACAATTATTTTCACCTCTCCTTCCGAAGGTGGTGTCCATATGTCTGAATGGTGCTTCTCTTGTCTCCGAGGGGCACAATGGTTCTTTTCCTTGGGCACTCGCTACTTGTTGCTCGAGCAACTAAAACTCCTATTGATAGTATTAATTCAATCGCGACCGCTGCTTCATCTTCTTCTCATTCCCCTGCTCCAGCCATGCTGCTAGCTGCTTCTATTTCAAAATGTTATTAGAACTGCTGGAAATTGAATTAGTTCATTGTGTTTGCAGTTGAACATTTAGATTGGTTCGATCATATTTGTTAACAGCTACACAATACGTTAGATCCTGTGACTGTTGGTTCCATTGTAGCATCCAAACTATAATATATTGATACTTTGAAAAATCAATGACTTTCATTTAAACTTAAGGATTGATGAATTATCTATTTTTAATATAATATATTTTCTTCTTTTTTTTGTTTAATAACAACATTTATATAATAAATTATAATTCATTTTAAATTCTTAATTTAGCTTGCCCCAAACTCGAAAATCTCCCTTTGGCACACAGCCCAACAAACCAATCAAAACCCACCCATTCGCACATAAAAAATCCATCCCTTCCTTTTGCACGCACCCCATCAAAATCCACCATACCCCCCCCCCCCTCCCAGAAATCTCTCTCTCTCTCAGTAACCAGATAATGTATATGTTGTGTATCAGGGATTCTGCTTTTAAAGTAAGCCAAATAGTGGGGCCAAGCTGATTCTAAGTAATAAAATATAAATTATTGTTCAAAATATTTTTATTACATAATTAATATTTAATTTTAATTTTTATAATATATAATGCCTTCAGAAATAGTTTATTACTAGTAATATATAGAATATAACTATTAATAATATCTCATACCTAAAATTAAATATTGATCGTATTAAATTTATATCTTAATTACATAATTTGAAATTTCAATGAATATAGAAAAAATAAGGAGATTTAAGTATAGATTAACGAGGTTATTGGATATTAGGGAGCGGGTCCGATGAATTGTCTAACATTGACAATGACGCACAAAAGATATTTTTTAGGAAAAAAATAAATTTTGTAAAGAGACTTATATCATTTTACATCAAAATAAATAAAAATTGAATTAATTTTAGCCCACAACGTTGCGACAAACGCAACGCTATACATATACCGCGTAAGTCTGATTATCATCTACAGCCACCGCAATTCAACACCTACCTACGTTGAGAACACTTCAATTCACTTGAGACTCAGACTACGATGGATGCGATTCTTCCGATTACGGTGTTATCGGTTGTTCTCGGAGCTCTGATCGCTCTCGTAGTGTTCGGAAACTACTTCCGCAAGAGAAAATCAGAGGTCGAATCGATCGCCAAGACTGAGGCACTCCACGCGAATCAAAAAAATCCGAAGCCTCCGCAACAAAGCTCGAAGAAATCTCACCCTAAGGCTCACTCTCATGCCGCTGATAAGGTACTCATCAAATTTCCATTTCTAGGGTTTATGTACATAATTTGTTTGTGTGTAATTGTAGAAATTTATGATTGGAGGATTTAAGTTAGAATGTTTAATGACGTGTTTGTGTGTGGTTGTGAAATTCTTTTGATTCACTCGGTGTATGTTGGAAATCTCTCTCTCTCTCTCTCTCTCTCTCTCTCACACACACACACACACGAGCACTGGAATGTTTAATGATCCAGAAACAGTCTACTTTTGAACTACTTGAGCAAAACAATCGACTCAGATTGTTTCAATGAATCCGGAGTTTTTTTCGAGAAAATTCCCTTCCCTGAGTTCCCTCAATATCATGATCGGGTATTTAACGGTTGATANAGTCTACTTTTGAACTACTTGAGCAAAACAATCGACTCAGATTGTTTCAATGAATCCAGAGTTTTTTTCGAGAAAATTCCCTTCCCTGAGTTCCCTCAATATCATGATCGGGTATTTAACGGTTGATAATGTTAGAAGACGACTGTCAGTATCTGATGGTCAAATACCTACTGTCATCGGTATATCTTTGAAAGCTCAGACGGAGAGAATGAACAGACTCCTCGAGGGCTACTTAAGCCACTTTAGTGCAAACCAGAAGGACTGGAGCTGCTCCTATATTTTAATATATCGCCTGAGAAGAATAATCATCTCAACATTGTAATAGAATTGCTGTAAAACATTTTGGTCTGTGTTGCATGTGTTAATTGTGATACTTTTGATAGGAACCAGTAAGAGATCATTGCTTCTTTCTCTCACATACTTACTTAACGCTTACATTATGATGATTGTTTTAAAGCTGAATTTTGTGATTAGAGTTGTTAGACTAACTTGACCATTTTTTAAAAATCTATGTAACTCATCTTGGTTATGATTTTTAAATGTAGGACTTGAACAAGCGGCATCATCCGCTGGATTTGAATACTTTGAAAGGTCATGGTGATTCTGTCACGGGTCTATGTTTCTCATCTGATGGACGTAGTTTGGCAACTGGTAATTTCAAGGATTACCTACTTTGTTTCATTGTAACTTATATAATATGTTTTAAGTGTTTAGATTGCTTAATTTTACTGTTTATGAGAGCAGTTCGTATAGCTTGCACTTTCACTTGCTTTCCTCTTATTGTTAAGGCCGACTGGGTAAATTTTGGGGCAGGGGCAAGGTGAGAGAGAGGGTGCGCATGTGGTGGCAAATGATGGTATCGAATTACTGATGTTTAGGTAGTGAGGGTGAGCTGGTGGTCAATTGAAGGTCTTGTGAATACCCCCTTGGTTAGCAATGATGCAAGATCTTGCATAAATCTCTACTTGAGGTACAGATATAGAATCATTTGAGAAATATCTTTTCAATTGGAACTTATTGCTTGTGGACAATAATAGTTGGTTGTCTTTTAATGAATAAGAACTCAAGAGGCTTGGATGAATGGTTATATGTTATTGCCTGGAGACAAATCCGATTGAAACCTAATTGTAGGAAGCTTAGAGATTGGGACTTGGAAAGTGTTTTTGCTTTTTCGGAAAGGTAACTATTAGTTTCGAAGGTTGAGGATTGCTATGATTACATGGTCTCTTCTAAATGTTTGAAGTACTTACGGCAAACATGTGACTTGTTGCATGGGTAATGTAATATGTCTGACTTGTCTAGCACCCAACCATTTTGGNCTTCTAAATGTTTGAAGTACTTACGGCAAACATGTGACTTGTTGCATGGGTAATGTATGTCTAGCACCCAACCATTTTGTNGATTGCTATGATTACATGGTCTCTTCTAAATGTTTGAAGTACTTACGGCAAACATGTGACTTGTTGCATGGGTAATGTAATATGTCTGACTTGTCTAGCACCCAACCATTTTGGGTTGTGATCCAAGTTTAGTTTTTCATTGTGCATAATAAAACACCCTTGTTTTGTTCCCTTTGTTAATAGTTGAATCAAAATGAGGCAAATGCTTATGATGAAAACTTTTTGTTGCACTTCTTGGTATTGTAACTATTGTTAGTGTTGGAGACAGATGCTTGGGATTGGGATATATTTTGCATGGAGTTAGACCTTCTTTGTTGCTGGTGGATTATTTCAAAAGGAGGCTTAATAGAATATGCTGTGATTAGTGGTTGCATATTTTGGTGCATTATTGAGGAACATAATAGAAGTAACTTTGAGAGCGTGCAACTTTTTGCTCTCAAGTTAAAAGAGATCCTTATGGAAGTCTTATTATATCTTCCTTGAGTTCCATTGGTTGGAGGTTTTTTCTTTTCCATTTCCTTTTCCCTTTTTTGGGGAATTGGCGGGTAGATTTCTTTAATCTGCTTAGTGTTTCTTTGTGTACTAGCCCTTTATTGGAATGCTTCTTTTGTTTTTTTCTTTTTCCAATCAGTACATATATCCATAGATAAAATAAAGAAATAAACAAACAATTAGTGGTGTAGGTGTTTGACATTCAGCGTTTGCTGGGGTGTTTTATGCTACAATTTTTTGAAAGGGATTCCTTGCTATGAAAGCTTTATTTATGAGATCTCAGACATTTTAGTGCTTTCTATTTGATGAAATCCTTCTTTCTGTAAAAAGTGTGAAAAAAGCAAATATACAATTTCTTTGTTTCCATCACTATTTAGTGAAATGTCATCCCTATATGTGAAGTCAATATGTTGTTTAACCATAATTTTTGGGATGTAGGAAAGTTAGAATACAATCCACCCCCAAGTGGTTGCATAGCATATCAGAAAATTATCAAGTTCAATATGCTCACTTTGATGCTACCACTTTTTTGACAAGCAAAATCATTTACTTTTTTAGCGTTGTCGTCTGTATATTCATAGAAGAGTGTGATTTTTCTTGCTTTCTTTTTATTTGTCTAAAGGAATTTCTGTCCGATTTCACATGCAAAAAGAAAGTGGTCCTAGACACTTTAACTGGATCTTTGAAAGTAGGGAAATTCCCTGCAATTGGTTGTATCTTTGAGAAATATGATTGTGCGCTATTTCTCTGTATTGCCCTGTGCCCAAGAGCCACAAATCATGTTATTGCTTGGAACGTAATGTTGTGACTTGAATTGTGATATTTTAACGAGATTTTCGCTTATTTTCCTCCAGCAATGTAAACATAATTTCTCGTTGGTGATGGCAAAGTTTGGTTTGATTTGTTCGTGTCTTAAAGTGCTTACAATTTTGAGATTGAAAGCGGTTTTTTTTTTCCTTTTTTGGTTGCATACAGCTTGTGGTGATGGAGTGGTCAGGGTATTCAAGATGGAGGATGCTTCAAGTAAAAGCTTTAAGTATGTTTTTCAACTAACCTTGATGCCTAAAGAAGAACTTCTCCATGGATGCCTGATCATTTACTTTCTCAATTTTGCCTAGCCTAGTTTATTCTCGATATCTTCACAATTGTAACCTATTGAATATTCTGCAGATTTCTAAGAATTAATTTGCCTGCTGGAGGTCATCCGATAGCAGTTGCATTTGTTGATGACACATCTTCTGTAGTTGTGGCTTCGCAAGCACTTTCTGGTTCTTCTTTATACATGTATGGAGAAGAAAAGTCCAAAACTTCTGGTGAAACTGAACAGCAGCCCAAGCTTCCTCATCCTGAAATTAAGTGGCAGCATCATAAAGTCCACGGTCAAAAGGCTATAATCACTCTAGTTGGAACTACAGCAACTTATGGCAGTGCTGATGGGAGTACAATCATTGCATCATGCTCAGAAGGTATACGAATTCATCATGTCATATTGTTTCAAACTTCTGTAACTTAAATAAATTTGTTGGTGGAGGGTTTAATTTTCGGTTATGAACATTAAATTAAAATCATTAGAGAAGACTTGGAATTTTATTTTGCCATGCAAGTTCAAAATAAATCTAATTGATTCTACTCCATCGGACTTATTCCCAATTATGCCCAAATTAATTTGACAAAACACTTGCTAACTCCCATCAATAAAAAATCCGATCATTGATAGGGTAGTTATTTGGCCGAACTTGTTCTCAACTAAATTGGTAGTTTTCGTAAGTTGCACCATATTATCTCTCCTCTCCTTAAAAAGCCACCTTTTACCTTCTCTGTCTTGCATTAAGTGGGTTTCTGGATAAAAGTTTTGCACTTGAGATTTTTCTAAAGCATTTTGGTTTGTTTTGAGTGGATTGCCAATTTCTTTATTTTTCAGGGACCGATATCATACTGTGGCATGGGAAAACTGGGAAGATTGTAGGGAATGTTGATACAAATCAGCTCAAAAACACCATGGCAACGATATCTCCAAATGGGCGTTTTATTGCTGCTGCAGCTTTTACAGCTGATGTGAAGGTGATTATTGAACATTTGAGGACAATTTGTTGCATGAGGTTTTTGCATTGCTTTCTTGTCAAATAATAGAAAAAGAAAAGTTGTGGAACATTTACGGATGCACATTGGCTGTATCATGCTCTGCAGCCCTGCACCTAGTAAGATGGGGTTGGGGGCTTGGGTTTTCAAAATATTTGCAAAGCCAAGTGGCTTAGGGTAAGATGTGTATTGCGTTAGCTCCATCCAGCCTTACCCAATTATCTTTCTTGCACTAATGCCCAATTCTCTTGATTTATGGTAGTAACCCCTATGTGCCCAGAAAGAAATTAAATCTCTGTCTCATATTGGTAAAGAAATATATATATTTTTTACAAGGATTTGTAGTTCTAATTGTGAAATCCCTCTGTTCCTCATCTTTACATGAGGTTTGTTTTCCCTGGGGTCAGGATTCATGTATAGCCAAAGATGTAAAACTGTAGGTCTATAGTAGTTAGCTTGATTGTTCAGAATTTGGATCTAACGAACTGCTATTTTTTGTGGGAATCTATTTTGACAGATTTGGGAGATTGTTTATTCAAAGGACGGTTCTGTTAAGGAGGTTTCAAGAGTTATGCAGCTCAAGGGGCACAAGGTAATAAATTTTCAATGTGAAACTCATAACTGGATTACATGTCTTCCTTCATGAAGCTTTCCCTCTATATTGCACACACTAATTTCATACATCAGTATATGTAAAAGGGATGCTTAAGCTTGGTGTTGAGAAAGTCAATCGCTGTTTCTCAGTTTGTATGGCCATCAATTACAAAATGAAGCATAATTCTGCTAGAGGTTTTGCTTGAAAAAAGTGAGGAAACAAACCTTTTTTAAAAAAATTTTGATCAGCTGTGAAGCAAATTTTTAATGCTTTTATTCGAAGCTATATAAGCTGGGTTTTTCATATGTTCAGCCTATTAACTGTTTTGAAGAGTCTTCAGTGGTCAAAATTTTTAAGAGAATCTTGGTTTCATATTAGGTGTTTAGAATAAAAAGTTGTTACTAATGCTTATAGGAGCAATAGTAGTTCATTGTATTAAGGCTTCATGCTGCTTCGATTGTATTTATGCATTCCGGTATTGAGCAAATCAGTTGATTTTTACACCGTGGGTTCGACTTTGGGAGTTAGGCTCTCCAAAATGGAGGTATGGTAGCCAGCCACTCACTTTTCCCAAGTCCCACTATAAACGGGAGCTCTATGCTCTGTGTAAACTTTTTTTTTTTAAATAAAAAAAAGCTTTAAATATTCTACTTCAGATGCCATTTCTGATAATTGATGAGAAATTCTGCTCTAATTCGGGGAATGTGTCAGTTGCTACTTAAGTTGAATACTTTCCAACTCTTCAACGTCTTTGAGTTCTTGTTATTATATATTGAAGAATAACTTTATGGCCTGAATTTGTGTATTGCTCCTCATGTCCTTATTCTCTTTGTCTTTGGGGATGGGAGATGTTCAGAGTGCTGTGACTTGGTTATGCTTTGCACCGAATTCAGAACAAATCATTACAGCATCAAAGGATGGTTCAATAAGAATATGGAATATCAATGGTATGTAGATTTTGCTGGAATTTTTTTTGTCATGTTTCATATACAATATTAGCTGTAAATGATTGTAGTTATTTTTGTGCCATCCTTTAATTTATGAGCTCCAATCTATTGTCTTTTTATAACTGTTGATCATCTTCGTCATGGACTATGCTTAATGTCTCGTGGCTTTTAAAAACATAATTTGCTGAGTAGTAGGCAACTTTGTTACAAAAAGGATTCTTGCATTTGTATAAGGTTGAATTTGCACAGCACAGTCCATGCCAGTGCAGTTTGGGGTTGAGTATCTGTATCTGGTTTCTTGCAACAGTCATCACCTTATTTGTTTTATTCTGACTTTCTCAATCCTTTTTTGAAGTGCGATATCATCTTGATGAGGACCCTAAAACCTTGAAGGTGTTTCCTATTCCACTTCGTGATTCCAGTGGCACTACTTCGCACTATGATCGTCTCAGTATTTCACCAGATGGAAGGATATTGGCAGCTACTCATGGTTCAACATTGCAGTGGTTGTGTGCTGAAACTGGGAAAGTTTTGGACACAGCTGACAAAGCCCACGATGGTATGTCAGTTTTCAAATATTTTGCCGGAATTTTTCTTCTTTCATTAGGGAAAATCAATTCCGGTTACGTAATTTTTTGCCTCTTCCTGTTTTGCTGTCACTGTTTCTGCTTGAATAAACTTACCAAGTCTACGAGAACAATTTAGCAACCTCCACAAAAAGGAGCAGTTATGTAGTATTCTGCTACAAATTTCGGTGGTTTAGAAATTGAATTTTGTATCCTATGATATTTTATTTCGACGTAGATAAGTAAGCAAATTTACGAAAGAGAAGGAGGATTATGGCCATTTTAATTTAAAAAATGTAATGTGTCTTTTTTTGGTTTGAAATGTTAAACATGCTGCATGAGAGCTGTAAGGCGTTTTTGGGCAAATATTTCACATATGTGCATGCTCAAGTGTTTAATCCATGTTGTGGCATCGATTTTTGTTAGAGTTTATTAAGCATGGTGGATGTGTGGTAAAACTAGGGAGGATATAATTAAGAACGGTTATATAAGTGAAAAAAGTAGAGGTAGTCTACAACTTTCTACCACTGTTTCTTGCTCCTCCTTAATTCCTTTGCTGTGTTCGAATGCTATGCATCAGATTGTGTAGTTATATTTCTGCTAATGTATAACTTTGCTCCATCTTGCAGGTGACATCACGGACACTTCGTGGGCTCCTCGATCTATTCCAATGGGTATGCCCCCCCCTCCCACACACACACACAAAAATGAAATTTCCTCCATATATTTATCATTGCTTTTGGGGGTTTAAAAAATTATTATGGGGCATCCAGAAAAGAGTGCTTGTGAAGTTCCTTTTTGGAAATTTGGACCCGATCAAGTGTGCAAGCTGCATGGTATCTAGTTTTTTGGGACTGTTTGGTATTGAGGATTTTTTCCCCTTAACCCGGAATATGATCACTAACTAGAGTTACAGTGCCATTTCTAGATAGCCTTGAGTATCATCAAAATATCCTTGATTCCTAAAAGTAATGGTGCATGCATTGGACTATACCTTAGTATATTAACAAATTTAAAACAAGACACTTAGGCTAGGTCACTTGAGGTCTTAAGCACACTCACATGCAAGATTCCTAATATGCTTTGGCTCCCTTTTTGCATGCTCTACACCAAGCACCTACTGAAGAACCTCTACTGTTATCTGATGAACTATATGAAATACTAATTCTTGTATTTTCCCTTCTCGTAAAAGCAATGGGGTCATGGGTGATTGATTCCTGTCAACTTTGCTTCCCTTCATCGTCTTTTCTACACCCCAAAAATATGAGATGTCCAAATCTGAATCCTATTTGGAGATATGTAGGAAAACTATCTTTCTTTCTTCAATGCATAAAAGCTCTAAAAAAATCCATATGTTTGACTCTTTGGATGTTTAAGATTATGCAGTGTAAATAGTAAATTAGGTCAGTAGTCTTCGCTGTGACCATTTCAAATTGCCCTACCCCATTGCACATGTTGTCTGCTGCATGAATATCCAGCTCATGACTCAATGCAGTTAGTTGAATGAATTTGGCATTGGTTTGTATCCCCTCGACTTCATTTACCTTCTTTTTTTTTTTGGCCTCTGATTTCAATTGCATTGCATTCTTATCTAATTTGGCAGGAGGCAAACAAGTGATGGTTATAGCCACAGCCAGCGTTGACAAGAAAGTCAAGTTTTGGTCAGCTCCACCACTACATTGATCAATAAGGAGCGTGCGAGTGCAGCGCCTTTGGTCATTCGCTGAAGCTCTCATTCTGTATGCTAGAGTTTCAATCATCAAATGCCCAAGCTTTCACGTCTGTCTTTGGCAAGAGAGTTGCATGCACAAGATTGATTGGAGTTAGAATGCGGCTGTTTTTATGGCACGATTCAAATATGTGCAAAATTTTCTTGGCTTCCCTCAAATTGCATAGCGTGATCCAACTGAATCCTTGCTCCTCAACAAAGTTTTGTACACAGAATTTGACAATTCTGAGTTATTTTTCAACTCCTAATGGGCGCAAATCAAAATATCGGTAAACAGATAACTTCCCTATAATCACTTTTTATTTTGGCTTACCTTGTCAACTGATTATTCACCATTACATACATTATGTATTTGCCTCTTTCCTTTTTTCATTCCAGAGAATTCTTAAATATAGAAAATATATATATTTAGTGGTTTAGTTAGATATTGCTTGATACGAGTACAAATTTGGCTGATGACTTAACTATAAAGCTAGACCAAAAATTACTACACCATGAGTTGCAAATTACTAATGTTAAAATGTGTACTGTGGGTTTGGACAGTCAATTTGGGTTAATTATAGTTTTGCCCCTTTAAATTTATGTGTTGAGTTCACTCTATCTATCAACTATGGAGTGGAACAAATTTTGTCGGTTGGTGTTATCATTTGTGACATTTTTGTGCTAATCGTAAAATTTTTGAAAGAAATAGTGACATGTGGGCAATCAATATCTGTTTTTGAAAAGAGGCAGAATGTGATGAATACCTTTTTTTTTTCAGCGGATTGCCAAAGCATAAGTTCTCAGGTTTTGTATTGTTTCCAAAAATAGATGCAAGGGTGTCAAAAGCACAACCCGTAAATACGACACTAACACAACATGAATGAAATAAGGTGATTAATATGTTGTTTGTACATACGTGTCTTGGTTGAATTATTTTTAAAAAACAACAAAAATAAGAACAAATTCACTTTTTTCTTTGGTCTAAATGCAAATTTGGGTGGAAACTGAGGTCGGGTTTAAATTGCATCTCAAAAAATAGTATTTAAAATAATTTTTGAATTTTTTTTAAGAAAGTGTGTTTTGATATTTTTTAAATTGGTTTAGTTATATATTTTTAAAAATAATTTTAAAGAACAAAAAATAATAAAATCTGTAAACTTGTTTCCACAATGCCCAACAAAATGTCACCAACCCAATTTACCTCTTATCACTCCTGCCGTCCTTTATCCAGTCCCATCTCTCTGTCTTTCCCTTCTCCACCCACACAACTCACATACATAGCACCAAAAAGAAAAAAAGAAAAAATATATATATACACAAATATATAAATCTGTGTTCAAATCTGTACATATATATAAATCTATTGAATTTGGTAGAAATGGAGACTTGAGAGAGAGAGAGAGAGATGGCCTCTGCTAAACTAATCTAAAAAATGGGTGAAAATGCCTCCAACGAAGCTTGATGTCCAGACCTCATTAAAGAAATGTAGTGTGTNATGGCCTCTGCTAAACTAATCTAAAAAATGGGTGAAAATGCCTCCAACGAAGCTTGATGTCCAGACCTCATTAAAGAAATGTAGTGTGTTTTCCGTGTTTTCATTATTCCCCTACTTTGCCTTTAAAACAATCAAAAACACCTTTGGCCTATTCTCTAAAATCAATCTTCAATTCTCCAAATTTTTCAAAATTATTTTTGTAGAATGTCCTGTCCAAACAGCTTTTAACTTGTTTTTCGAAAAAAAAAAACTTGTTTTGGAGATACAATGCAAACAGACCCAGATATTTTGCTGATAACACCACAATGCAGTGTCTTGTTATAACGAGCAAAGGGTGTAAGTTAAACCAAAAACAAGTAGAGAAAAAAGTAACACGATAGAGCTAAATGAAAGCCTCCACCGTGGGGCTCAAACCCACGACCACAAGGTTAAGAGCCTTAAACGAGCACTTCGGTTATTCCATCACAAGACGCTTAATAAATTACATTGAAAAAGAAACTTGTTTAGTGCTATTTCAAAGCTAATATCCCAGTTGCAGCACCTTGTCATTATTATGCATATGGATTTCAATAGAAATTTGATTTATTGATTTGGATGTAACATTAAAATCTCATCCCACTATGTATCTAATTATTATTATCTAATATTTTATGAAATTTATAATATAAAACAGAACAAATTTCAATAAACTCATCCGATAATTTTAAATAGACTCATCTAACGGCAACTAACATCCCTCTCAAAACCAAAACCATTTACATTGCACTGTACCTTCAGACACGGTTTACCCCCAGTGAGATAAAAATTGTGGCTAATTCACCCCGCTCAGTTTAGCTTAGAAGATGGCATATTATGTTTTAAACTAATCTCACATGGACTTTGAAAATATCAGTCAAGGAAAAACACTTGCAGGTATTTTATTCAGATTCCCCCAATTCATAAGAAGGCAGCATAACCATAGAAGTAAATGGATGAAATTCTAAAAATATTAAGGCTCCTAAGCTCTGGTCTCACACTACAAGTGTGGAAGCAATCTTGGTTAGGGAAGGCTAAAGATGGTGCCTCAACATATGGGTAGCAAGAGGGCGCTTATGCCCCGACAATGGGGCCATATGGGAAGGGCCCAACTAATCATAATGTTTTTTTTTTTTTTTAAAAATTTTTATGAAGACAGTGCAAGAAGCTCACATGGCAACAGCATGATGTAGGCTGGATGCAAGTCCTCGAGGCCAAAAAAAACTTCAATCTGGTAAGTTATCAATCAAATAAGAAGGGGCCATTCATTGTTAAAAACTACTAGATGAGAGGGAGTACAAATGTGGTCTTACTATTTAGTCTCGGATACAAACAGGATAACTGTACAGCATCAGGTTGTCTCTCGGGTATAGAAGCTTGGAATTCGGGTAAAGCCTTGCATGATTCATATATCATACTTAGAGTAGGGAACTTGGACTGCAAAAACAAAAATGAAATGTTATCATCATGCAGGCGGAAGAGTAGCATGGAAAAGCATAAAAATATCATGCAAGTCAGGAACTGAAAAATAATGAGGCCATTCTATTGCATTATATATCATTTTCAGCAGGGCACCATCAAAGAAACCGAAAACACAATTCCATAAACTTAAATAATTTTATATTGGTTTTACGTAAGCATCAGGTTAAGCTCAGTCAAAAGTCAACAGATAATAATTGTGGCATAATGCATCGAATACAATTCTTATAGCATTTTTCAAATAAGTTTGAAGTAACAGAAAGAGGACATAGCTTTGTGGTTATGATTTGTATCTTGATGAGTTGCTTTGTGGATGGATGACTTGTCCATTGTTCATCCCATTTTGTACTACGTCCCATATATATCTTAATAAAATTTATGGTTCTATTAAAAAAAAATAGACTCCTGAGTGGTAGTATATATTAGTTCAGAACTGATGTCAGACAATATTGCATTCAGTACTACACTCAAATGACTTGAACTGATTTTGTGTTCAGCTAAAACTATGTTTATGATTTGTAAAGTAAATCCCAAGTGTATTTCTCTTGTAGGTCGAAAGTGTGGTGGATTACATCGACTACATCTAGAAAATCAATATTTCATGGTTGAGTCCATTCTTTTTTCTCTACTTCTCAGACACTATGCAAGGTAGATCCCATAAATTCATGTGTATTTGAACTGTCTAAAATACAATAACAAACGAACACGATATGGGGGATTTGGAAATGTATATGGAATGAACACTATAGAGACAATAAGGGTTGCGGGGAATAATATAAAAAGTATGCAGCAAGCCAAAAAAAAAGCAGTACACAAAAAAAAAGTCACCTCCCAAAGCATTACAAAAAGGAATGAAACTATAAGTAGTCTAACAACATAAAGATAATAAAAAATTTCCCAGATCAGTATTGGGAACTGGAACATGACCTACCATGTCAATATTAAACCTCAGAGTAGTTAGAGCAATTTGTGGGGCCAAAAATACATCAGCCTGCAAATGAAACCACCTCTTATTATTTTTTTCTTTTATTACATCAGAGTGACTCACTGTTCTTTGTAATCAAAGCATTTTGACTAGCGAATTCCGGCTCTAAAAAGGATCCAAAAACGTTTAAATTCAGTTCCAATCTTGAAATAAAATTCAATTTTTAATCACAGAAAGTGATATCTATTTTAGTCCGTCTTCTGTAGTTCTTTGCTACGCATAATTTTTTTCCTATTGAGATCTCATATGATCTTTGTTTCCTCTTTAAATCAATTATGTACCTTACGTTAAGAATGTTGACGTAGAAAGAATAAAATTACGTATTTAGTACTAGAGATTAGGGAATTTGAGTCATTTCAAAGAAGAAAGTAGAGCAATAAAAAGATACCATGTATACTTTTTCTCCTGTAGCATATTTCCCATGACAACCTTTCAGCAACTTTTCAAGAGCTGAACAAAATGGTGAGATCTCGTATGAATTATAATAGAACCAAGAATACATAAAAAATGGAAGTTGTAATGGATGAGCCATGAACTAAGAGAACTTATTAACAATTGTGCAAAACATCAACAATACAACTGCTTGTATTGTCAAAAAATTCAAAATACCAAACAAAATTAAACAGGTTTCATAATTTATGAAAAAGCTACACCCTTTTCCAGGCTTATTCAACGATCTTTTACCTCGTTGATGTAGATGAGATTCAGTGACTGATTTTCAGAAATCATGTAAAAACTACACAATTTCAAGATTTTTCAAATGGTAGATTTTGATGCAGAGATATATT